TCATTTCTCTTTTATTTATTTTTATTTATGGCTTTGAGTTAGGCACTCGACCTGCGTTGCAATAATGACTTTTTGATGGTCCTTTCTGTGGGCAAAGACACGTTTTACATTTATGGAAACCGCAAAAGCAACGGCAAATGGAAAATAGAGCAGTTTTTAATTCTAATCGATACTCGAGCTGAATATTGAACAATATTTGTAGTTTCTTGTGTGAATTTTTGATTGAACAAAGGGAAAATGTGCAGCAGGCAGTTCAAGGACTTTAAGTTATGTGAGCATTGCAGTGGAAATTCAGAAATGGAAAATGGTGGGAAATTTGAAAAGGAACAACAAAACTAAATTACAATTGAAAACAAATGCTGATTACTGAGGATCACTTTAATAATGTCAAAATTAATAGAGAAATTAAAATAGTTTCAGTAGCTTTTTCATAGTGATCCAAGCATATTTAGGAGGAATAAAGATATTCTTTATGGAATTTGCCACGCCTGTGTCTGCTTTTTATATACACTATAAAAAAAACTATTATAACCTGATATCACAATTGGCAATTGATCCAGAGTATTAAAAGTGTGCAGTTTAGGACTAGATGAGAAGATCGTATTGTTTCTATATATATTATTTCATATATAGTAGAAGTAATCTAAGAATATGTCCTATATCCTTTGCTATATTATTTTATTTCATATATAGTAGAAGTAATCTAAGAATATGTCCTATATCCTTTGCTCAAACATGAACATTTTATTGGGAACATATAGGAAGAGCATTTACTGGCTGGGCATATAGGCGGCATGCAGCATCTCCAACTTCAAATCGAACAAGTAGGGAGGCTTGTGCTCTAAATTTATTTTATATGTATTTTAAATAAAACGTTTCGCTCTTAGGAGCTCAATCATACGAGTCCAGCATAGATCGCAGTAGTAGAGATCTGAGTAAGCCCAATTAGTATTCAGGTACTCAGAGATAAAGAGCAGTTCAGCATTTGCGACCAGCATAGATCGATTGATACAACTGAGTGCAGCATGATGATCATTGTTCTCAAATAGCAAATAGTGAACTCAACGCTCTTAATCATTCTTAAATTTTGTATTCTCTTTTCATTATTAGATATATGTAGATATATGTTATTGAGTTGCATTTATTTATCAATATAACAATCTGCGGCGTTTCCAATTTCTACTTCAATCATTTGCTTTGCCCAGGCTCTTCAAAAAATTCTGTGGAATATAGTCGAAATAGGGAATAAATAAGTCTAGCTTAGGAAGTTATCTACTGGCTTAGAAACTCGCCTACTTTGTTAAACATTTTGCTACAACAATGCCACGGCTATAGCTTTTAAAGAAATACATACATTATAATATGATTTAAAACATTTACAACAAAAATGTACAATCTTTTGGCTGCTCAGATCGCACTGCTGATCTGTTGATCTAAACTTACATAAATTATTTCACTTTTATAATCTAATACATTTTACTATTTTGATTTGAATAACTACATTTGTTCTTCATGAAATGCAATCAGCATCCCATATATAGACATCTTCTATAAGTCCAGCAGAAACTCTTAGCTTATGCCACATAGTTAATTATATAAAAACATGTTGGTAGATTGTCGCATTTCTTTGTTGCATTTCCTGGCTTGGGGTTTGTTTTTCTTTCATTCACTCATTGGAATGTAAACACCGTGCATAAACAACAAACAAACAAGAAAAAAAAGATGGAAAAAAGGCACCACCAACAACATAAGTTAGAGAGAGAGAGCAACTTGGAAACGGATGCACAGACTGGCCAAAATGGCGTCATTAACACATTGCACATCCGTTTCCGACCGCAGCTGCAGCCATGGCAAACGGCACGCCCGGCCACACAATTAATACCAGTTAAACAATGAAGAGCGCGTTTTGCCACCCGCCGAGTCCGGACCGTAACAGAATGCACATTAACGCATTGTTATTGTTTATTTACGCGCTTTTGGCCGGCCGTCGACGCGTCGAGTGGCGCGGCATTAAGATGACGGCCAAAGAGCCAGAGCCAGAGCCTAAGCCTGACGGTCGACTCAATGTAAACGAACGCGTTACCACCGCAAATGTCCGTGCAGGGATTTCCTGTATTCCTCTAATGTTGTCTATTTCAATTTGTTGTTATTTTCTTTTTTTTTTCGATTTTTTTTCTTTTTTGGCTTTTGTTTTGTTTTAGCTACAGACACTCTTTCAGGTTCAGGTGTCGAGCAGGAAGCTGGCGCTGCTGCTGCTGCTGCATGCAGCCTTGAGCACAATACAAAACGCAACAACGACGACGGCGACTGCGACTGCGACGAGGCCGACTAGTGATGGCGGTATATAGAGCCCGATTGACATCGAGTCGCGCGCGTACGAATGTTGCGTGGAGTTGACGCTTTCAGTGCAGACGAGACATTAAACGCGCCAGAGCAAAACATCAACACAAGAAGCCAGCGAAGCAAACAGACGGACCGGCCAGACGGCCATACGGCCAAACGGCGCCATTGGGGCCAACGCTGGACGCCCAACAGCGACAGCCGAACGACGCGCGATGCCGACCCGAGTGCCGTTCGTTAATAAACGAATCGAGTCGAGAGGCGAGTCGTAACGAGTTGTTCGATGTCGAATGGGAAACGAGCTAAGCATTCAGGCAGCACAACAAATACTCTATATATACATATATATATATATGACATA